TATATATATATATATTATATATATATATACACACTGAGAGTTTACTTTAATTCTTGACTGGTGGTGAACAAGTTATGTACCGCCGTAATGACCCCACGTGTAGTTGATAGCTTTCAGCCCACATTAACCAACCATCTTTCATGTCAGTCATCGTTGTATGTTCGCTCAGATCAAATATAATTGATTCGCTGTTATTTTTTTTAGATTCACTTTTATGTACATAAGTATTCCTGCCGGCAGCGGTGTTGCCAGCGTGTCTGCTTCATTATCGTGTTTGTCATCATATTGATAATGATTGCAAATTTTCGCACACGTGTGTGTGAGTATATTCGTATCAAGTGTGTATCATTGTAAAGTGTATATATACCATTAGGAACAATAATAAGACAGTATATTTACAGTATTTTATTATAATATCATTACCATATATCAACAGTTGAAAAAAAAGACAAATGATTAAATTTGAGAAGCAGTCAAGAGGGGAGAGAGAGAGGGGGGAGAGAGAGAGAGAGAGAGAGAGAGAGAGAGAGAGAGAGAGAGAGAGAGAGAGAGAGAGAGAGAGAGAGAGAGAGAGAAAAGAGAGAGAAGAGAGAGAGAGAGAGAGAGAAGAGAGAGAGAGAGAGAGAGAAGAAATGAGAGAGATGGAGAGAGAGAGAGAGAGAGAGGAGAGAGAGAGAGAGAGAGAGAGAGAGAGAAAAGAGAGGAGAGAGAGAGAGAGAGAGAAAGAGAGAGAGACTGGAAGAAGCGGTAATGGGGGTACTAGGACACAGGGTCGAGCTGTGGTAGAAGGAATCAGCACCACACCAAACCCCCAGCAACCACACCCACCACGACAACCACAGCAACTACGACAGCCACACTAGAACCATACAACCCACTCCAGCCACAAGACTGTGAAACGGCTTTAAGCCAGAATCTCTAAAACTGATGAGAGACATAACGTTGACCAGCATTCAAAAAAAGGTGTCAGTCGAATGGTCTTATATATATCGGCGTAACTGACTGTTTCTGTTATTCAAGAAGATCACTAGTTTGAATGTTTTATGCTCTATTATTTCTTCTATCAAAGGCACTTAAAAAAGCCTTTTTTTTGTCTCGAATACTGAAGAACTTACATTAAAAGGCATTACCTACTGATGAATTTGCTCTAAAGTCTATGTATACACACACACTGAATTCGTAGAAACAAAACACAGAAGATATGTACAATCGAAAGTTACTCAACAAATCACAAAAAAGCGTATTATTTGATACAAAGTGATACAGACACTGAGACCAGCACTAAGAACATTTTCCAAGGAGTATAAAGTGTTTCAGCCATCAAGAACACAATAACACTATATTGAACGTAAAGTGTTTCATCTCTCCAGACCAATACAAAGAATATCTTCAATTGAGTGCAGAGTATTTCAACTCTTCAGTGGTGTAAAGTGTGTCAACTTTTAACACTGATACAAGAATACCTTGAAGTGTCTCACTTCTCCACCCTGCCACTTTAATGTGAGTGGAAAGTGCTCCAACTCTCCAAACTATCACCATGAACACCTTCCAGTGAATGAAAAGTGTTTCAAGTCTACACGCTAGCACAAGAAATACCTTCCAATAAGTCTAAAATATGTCGACCCTCCTGAGCAACACCAGAAACATCTTCCAGCCAGTGTGACTGTCTGTGTTGACGGTGGGAGGGAGGAACACACCGTCTGTGTTGACGGAGGGAGGGAAGAACACACCGACTGCGTCAGGTCTCCCATCTTCAGGTTCCGGAGTCGGATGTTGTGTTGGCGACCCTTCAAGATGGACCACAGCACTGACCCTAGACCTCACCTGCGTGACCTTGGGGGCTCAGGGGCAAAGTCAGGTGAGGGGTCCTTGAGGAGAGGGGTCTTTGAGGATAGAGAGAGAGAAGGTGAGGTCTTGAGAGAGAGAAAGCTGTCCTTGAAGAGAAAATTGTGATGGAGCTGTCCCCAACACCGCTGTTTCTTCTAGTCACTTAAGTACTATACACTCAGCGTATAATTTATATATATCATGAAGCAAATAACGCTATATATATAGCTATATAAAGATTCCCATATGCTGCATAAGTGTCTCAATCTTCAACCTGTCGGTTTTTCAAACCATTCATCACAAACCATTCATCACAGCTATATATATATATATATATATATATATATATATGAACATGTATATTTAAAACTCTATACTCAAAAACAAAACAAATTTTATGCATAAGCTAGTATTTTTCTCAAGGGGACCCACGAATTTGTACCACAGCGTGAATGAAGCCATATATTTTAATACCGCGTCTATAGCAATGCTGACGTGCGACATGGTGCTGTATAGCTGAAGTATCCGCTACAGGGAGCAGTGATCTGAAGCCAAGTTGCTGTAATAGCAGGAACCACACAGGGGCCAGAAGTGTACCACATATGTGTGTGTGAGAAGTAAACCGGGTTGAGAAGCATTGTGGCTGCAATGCTAGTGTCATTGTTCTTGCTGCATATTGTGCATCAAATGGAGACCTTACGGCTCAGCAATAAGGCAATTACTGCTGGTTTTCCTATTGGTGGGGGTGCTTGTCCTGGTGGTGGGATTATTGTTGCATGCGATGATGAATTTTGCGATGGTAAGGTTCCTACTGTTTTGATAGCCGGTAGTGGCAGTGTGTGTTTTAATTTTACCACTTTTATTTTGTGATGACATCCTTTGTACCGGCTTATTTGTTTACGTTTCGCCTGCTGCTGAAGCACTAATGATGCTCAGAGGTCTCGTCTAAACATATCATACGCAGACTAACTCTGAGGCGCAGGTGTCCGCTTTCACGATACTCTCGTCTTGTGCCAGTACCGTGTCATTCATAAATATCAGCATGCGCTCCAAGAAACTCTCAAAGACTTCAAACTCTTTGGAAAATGGTTCACGTCCATTAGAAAGCGTTTCTGCTGCACTGGAGTAATGCTCCTTTTCCTCATTAATAACACAGCCTGTTTTCTTCAAGGGCTTGGTTTATATATATATATATATATATATATATATATATATATATATTATATATATATATATATATATATATATATATATATATATATATAATTATATATATATAATAATATATATATATATATATATATATATATATATATATATATATATATATATATATATATATATATATATATATATATATATTAGCTTGTAAGAAGTGCTATCACTAGAGTAATAACTCAAGTTTGTGTTTAAACTGGAGAACGATCGTTGTGTTTTATATTTGACCCGTAATCGTTTTCCATGACAGAATTTTTATGAATAGGATTTTTTTTTTGTATGAATAGGATTTTTTCCCTGTTAAGTGTCTTAAATTAACAGGTTAGACTACGGTTGACGAAATTTTTAGTCGTGGCTGATATTGATAGAGAACCAACATTAAAACTGAAATTTGAATTTTCATTTTTCCTTCTCTAATTTACCCTTCAGAATTTTCTGCCATTATCAGCAACGTTTTTTTTTTTTTTAACATTGTACAACTTGTCTTCACCAGCTGCCGTCAGTTTTCGTCCAAAGTTAAAAGTAATTATGTTCTTCAGCTAGACACTTCTCATTATAAAAAAAATAATCACTTTTAATTGTCGCTTAATTTAAGTGTGCCGGAAATTTAATGAATCGCAGCTTCCAGTGTTAACCTTTCAGGTCGATACTACAGGAATCTCTTGGAACACATTAAGCCAGAATAATTATTTCTTTTTGTTTCTGTTGGCGTTAAGTATTTTTTTTTTTTGAGATGGAGCAGAGTGAGCGACGTAGCAGCGAGTGTAGCGTGTTAAGAGAGCTGACATCTTATTATCTAGAATTTGTGCTCTATGAACATGCCTTTTTCTAGATATTTTTATAAAAATTCACTATTATGGATCGGTGTGTACGCGATCTTCAGTTGCTATATATTGTATATCATGTGGAAGTAGATTTCCATAGGTTAAACACTGGTGCCGTGATAATGTTGCTCGTGCATCTTCCTGGACATTGTCGTGCGAGGCTAATCAAGTTTAGATATTTCTTGTGTCTCGTCACTTCAATCCAGATACAGGCGCTTGTCATTGGTGAAAGAAGTCACATCTGTTGGCTCTTCTCACAGGCGCCTTCATTATTATGGATCGGTGAGCGTAGGTTTCACTACACTCTTGGACTTCTCTCAAGGGTCTTCTCACCATTTCTGGATGTGGTCCAAAGATCCAGTACTGTCTTGCCGGTGCTCATACATACGCCTTTACCTCCAGTAACATCGTCGAAGAGCCTTGCTTGCGGCTGTCACTTTTTTTTTTTTTTCGCAGGAATATTGTTACATTTATGTCGAGGAAGGGAACTTTTCTTGTTAAAATTCAGCTTGATTGAGACGTGGTGCTGGAGGAGGAGGCTGATAAACAAGGCAGTGATAAACTACTAGCACCTAAAACACAGCGAAGGAGGGAGGAATTTAGGTAGTGACACCAGGTTAGTATCTAGATTCAAGAGTTTCTAGGTTTTGCTTTTGCCACATAGAACACTGTGGTAATGGATTCTAAGTGTTCTAGTGAAGGCTTCTAAATTTTGTCGAGGCCTTTTAAGCTCTTAACAGTGAGTTATTTAGGTTCTGTTAAATACTTCCAGGTCCTGTTGAAGGCTTCTAGGGTTTGTTAGAGATCTGGGTCGTTTTGAAGATCTCTAGATTCTGTTTATGGCTTCTGGTTCCTGTTGAATGATCCTAGTTTGTTAAAGGATTCCGGATCCTGCTAAAATCTTTTGTATCCCGTTGAAGGCTTCCGAGTACTGTTGAAGGCTTCTGGGTGCTGTTGAAGGCTTCTGGGTGCTGTTGAAGGCTTCGGGGTCTTGTTGCAGGATTCTGGGTCCTGTTGAGGGCTTTTGGGTTTTGTTGAAGTCTCTTCGACCCTGTTAAAGGTCTGAGTCATATTGTAGGAGTGTAGGTCATGTTGAAGGCTTCTGGGGTCCAGTGAGATTTTTTTTTTGGGGGGGGGGGGGGGTCCCGTTGAAGGCTTCTGAGTCCTACTGAAGAATTCGGGGTCCTATTGAAAGCTCCTAGGTCCCGTTAAAGGAAGGCTTCTGGGTTCCACCACTACTGCACAAAGGAATCTATTCTAGAGAAACACCGTGTGGACACATTTAGGTCTGAGACCTTGCAACGGTCTTTCTCCTAGATTGCACCTTGGGATCATCTAGGTGAGTGCTACAGTAAGGTAGCGTGTCTTGTCTTTCGTGCTCAGTGGATGGAGGATCGAGCCTCCACCACTCCTTGCCTCGAATAATAATAATAATAATAATAATAATAATAATAATGATAATAACCATAACAAGACATGTATGTCACTAGAGTTGGGTGGAAACCGTCTCTCCCGGCAGCCTGGGTGACAGGTTGACGGGTGGAGGCGGCGACAGGAGGAATCTAAATGTGACGCGGAATTGATGGGACATGATGTAGTAGAGGAGGAAGTTGAGGGCTCCGTTGATGAGGGCGAGGAGGTCCATCACCTCTCCCCAGTGTAGGTAGCACTTTCTGCGGAAGAGAGAGGAGAGGGAAAGACGGTGATAGGATATTAAGTATTTTCACTCTCTCTCTCTCTCTCTCTCTCTCTCTCTCTCTCTCTCTCTCTCTCTCTCTCTCTCTCTCTCTCTGTCTCTCTCGCTCTCGCTCTCTCTCTCTCTCTCTCTCTCTCTCTCTCTCTCTCTCTCTCTCTCTATCTCTCTCTCTCTCTCTCTCTCTCTCTCTCTCTCTCTCTCTCTCTCTCTCTCTCTCTCTCTCTTTTCTCTCTTCTCTCTCTCTCTAAAATTTCAGCCTCTCGATTTTTATGTTTTTTTCCTCCCAGCCTTTCACCTGAAGCACCCACCTGAAGGAGGGGTTGTAGATGGCTTCTCCCACCTCACCCACCCACCCTGGAACACCCACCTGAAGGAGGGGTTGTAGATGGCTCCTCCCACCTCACCCACCCACCCTGGAACACCCACTTGAAGGAGGGGCTGTAGATTGCTCCTCCCACCTTACCCACCCACCCTGCAGCACCCACCTGAAGGAGTGGTTGTAGATGGCCCTTCCCACCTCACCCACCCACCCTGAAGCACCCACCTGAAGGAGGGGTTGTAGATGGCTCCTCCCACCTCACCCACCCACCCTGAAGCACCCACCTGAAGGAGGGGTTGTAGATGGCCCTTCCCACCTCACCCACCCACCCTGGAACACCCACTTGAAGGAGGGGCTGTAGATGGCTCCTCCCACCTCACCCACCCACCCTGAAGCACCCACCTGAAGGAGGGGTTGTAGATGGCCCTCCCCACCTCACCCACCCACCCTGAAGCACCCACCTGAAGGAGTGGTTGTAGATGGCTCCTCCCACCTCACCCACCCACCCTGAAGCACCCACCTGAAGGAGTGGTTGTAGATGGCCCTTCCCACCTCACCCACCCACCCTGAAGCACCCACCTGAAGGAGTGGTTGTAGATGGCCCTTCCCATCTCACCCACCCACCCTGAAGCACCCACCTGAAGGAGTGGTTGTAGATGGCTCTTCCCACCTCACCCACCCACCCTGAAGCACCCACCTGAAGGAGGGGTTGTAGATGGCCCTTCCCACCTCACCCACCCACCCTGAAGCACCCACCTGAAGGAGTGGTTGTAGATGGCCCTTCCACCTCACCACCCACCCTGAAGCACCCACCTGAAGGAGTGGTTGTAGATGGCCCTTCCCACCTCACCCACCCACCCTGAAGCACCCACCTGAAGGAGTGGTTGTAGATGGCCCTTCCCACCTCACCCACCCACCCTGAAGCACCCACCTGAAGGAGTGGTTGTAGATGGCCCTTCCCATCTCACCCACCCACCCTGAAGCACCCACCTGAAGGAGGGGTTGTAGTTAGCTCTTCCCATCTCACCCACCCTGAAGCACCCACCTGAAGGAGGGGTTGTAGATGGCCCTTCCCACCTCACCCACCCACCCTGAAGCACCCACCTGAAGAAAGAGTGGCCGTAGATGGCTGAGAGGAGGGAGAGGATGCCCTGGGGCAGCTCGGTGGCTAGGAACAGCAGCAGCACCGTCAGTAACATTCTCGTTGTCTTCTCCGTTAGCTTCTCCATGCGAGGAAGCTTTCTCTCTGTCTCCATAGATGGCGTGCTCATCTTGATCAAGTTCTCCTGGTGGAGTGGCAGAAGGGAGAATTAAAGAGGGAGTGGAAGAGGTGGAGGAGGAGGAAAGAGAAGGGGAAAGGAGGAGGAGGTGGGACGAGAAGGAGAAGGAGATGAAAAGAGAAGGAAGAGGAGAACGATTTATTTGTTCTGTCCAAAAAATTGAACTCTCAGCCATTCGTGATTGGAAGGTACATTGTGTTCCAATACTCTATGTCTCTGTCTGTCTGTCTGTCTGTCTGTCTGTCTGTCTCTGTCTCTGTCTCTCTCTCTCTGTCTCTCTCTCTCTCTCTCTCTCTCTCTCTCTCTCTCTCTCTCTCTCTCTCTCTCTCTCTCTGTCTGTCTGTCTGTCTTTCTTACTGGCTTGGTACAAGTTGATATGTACCGTCATGTCAGTAATGTCATGTATCGTCATGGACCGTCATGTGCCAGTGTTGTCATGTGTTAGTATGGTCATGTGTCAGTGTTGACATGTTATGTCATACACCAGTGATAATTTCATCAAGTTACCTACAGCGTGTATTTTTTCCCTTTGTCTTTATTTACACCTTATTATTCAGGGTATAATATGCAGTCTCCTCTCTCTCTGCATGTTTTAAGGTGCGTAAACATGGGAATTTGTTTATCGGGTAAGAACAATGCCTTGCGCTGGAAGTTTTGAAAGTAAACAATCTCTTGTTTATCTTCGAGATAACTCCTTTCTTGCTTCCTCCTCCTCTTGCTGAAAGTCAACCTTCTTTTGCACCTTCTGAAAGTCAACCATCTTTACACCTTCTGAAAGTCAACCATCTTTACACCTTCTGAAAGTCAACCATCTTTACACCTTCTGAAAGTCAACCATCTTTACACCTTCTGAAAGTCAACCATCTTTGCACCTTCTGAAAGCCAACCATCTTTGCACCTTCTGAAAGTCAACCATCTTTACACCTTCTGAAAGTCAACCATCTTTACACCTTCTGAAAGTCAACCACCTTTACACCTTCTGAAAGTCAACCATCTTTACACCTTCTGAAAGTCAACCTCTTTACCCCTTTCTGAAAGTCAACCATCTTTACACCTTCTGAAAGTAACCATCTTTACACCTTTTTGAAAGTCAACCATCTTTTTACCCCTTTCTGAAAGTCAACCATTTTACCCCTTTAAAAAGTAACCATTTTTAACCTTCAAAAAGGGCAACCATTTTTTACCCTTCTAAAAGTCAACCATTTTACACCTTTGAATGTAAATCATCTTTAAAATTTCCCTAAAAGTCAACCTTCTTTACACCTTCTGAAAGTAACCTCTTTCACTTCTGAAAGTAAACCATCTTTACCCCCTTCTAAAAGTAACCATCTTTAACCCTTCTAAAAGTAAACCCAAATCTTTACACCTGAAGTAAAAACCACCCTTTATACCTTCTGAAAGTCAACCTTTCTTTACCCCTTTCTGAAAGTAAAGCATTTTACCCCTTTCTAAAAGTCAACCATTTTTTTACCCCTTTCTAAAAGTAACCTCTTTGAACCTTCTGAAAGTCAACCTTCTTTACCCCTTTTAAAAAGGTAACCCATCTTTACACCTTTGAAAGTAAACCCACTTTGCACCTTCTAAAAGCCCAACCCCATTTTAAACCTTCTGAAAGTAAACCATCTTTACCCCTTCTAAAAGGGTAAACCATCTTTACCCCCCTTCTAAAAAGTCAAACCATTTTTAAACACCTTCTGAAAGTCAACCATTTTTAAACCCCTTCTGAAAGTCAAACTTTACACCTTCTGAAATAAACCATCTTTAAAACCTTCTGAAAGTAAACCCACCTTTAAAACCTTCTGAAGGTAACCCCATTTTTCCCTTCTAAAAGTAAACCCCATCTTTACCCCTTTCTAAAAGTAAAACCATTTTTACACCTTCTGAAAGTAAACCAAACTTTACCCCTTCGAAAGTCAACCATCTTTACACCTTCTGAAAGTCAACCCCCCTTTAAAACCTTCTAAAAAGTCAACCATCTTTACCCCTTTTGGGAAATTTAAACCATTTTTAACACCTTCTGAAAGTAAAACCCCCTTTTTAACCCCTTTTGGGAAAAAAAAACCATCTTTACACCTTCTGAAAGTCAACCCCTTTTACCCCTTCGGGAAAAGTCAACCATCTTTACACCTTCTGGTAAACCAATTTTTTCACCTTCGGGAAAGTAAAACCACCCTTTACACCTTCTAAAAGTAAAACCTTCTTTAAAAACCTTCTAAAAAGTAAACCACCTTTCCCACCTTTAAAAGTAAACCCATCTTTACACCTTCTGAAAGAAACCCCACCTTTAACCTTCTAAAAGTCCCCCCAATCTTTAAACCTTTTTAAAAGTAAACCCAATCTTTACACCTTTTTGAAAGTAAACCCCATCTTTACCCCCTTTAAAAAGTCAACCATCTTTCACCTTTAAAAGGGTAAAACCATCTTTACACCTTCTGAAATCAACCCCCTTTTTACCCCCTTCTGAAAGTCAACCTTCTTTACACCTTCTGAAAGTCAAAAATCTTTACCCCTTCTGAAAGTAAACCCCCCTTTACCTTTGAAAGTCAACCATCTTTAACCTTCTAAAAAGTCAACCACCTTTACATTCTGAAAGTCAACCCCCTTTACCCCTTTTTCTGAAAGTAAAACCCAAACTTTCCCCTTCTGAAAGTCAACCCCCCTTTTCCCATTCTGAAAGTAAAACCATTTTTACCCCTTTTGAAAGTCAACCCCCTTTACCCCCTTCTAAAAGTCAACCACCTTTACACCTTCTAAAAAGGTAAACATTTTTTACCCCTTTAAAAGGGCCCAACCATTTTACATTTTCTAAAAAGTAAAAACCATCTTTACCCCTTTTCAGAAAGTAAAACCCCCTTTACCCCTTTCTGAAAGTAAACCCTCTTTACCCCTTCTGAAAGTCAACCCCCTTTACACCTTCTGAAAGTAACCATCTTTCACTTCTGAAAGTAAAACCACCTTTACACCTTCTAAAAGTAAACCCCTTTCTTTAAACCTTCTAAAGGGTCAACCATTTTAACCTTCTGAAAGTCAACCATTTTTAAAAACCCCTTCAAAAGTAAAAACCCCCTTTACCCCTTATGAAAGTCAACCATCTTTACACCTTCTGAAATTTAACCCAAACCTTTTCCCCCTTTTCTAAAAAGTAAACCCACCTTTACCCTTCTGAAAGTCAACCATCTTTACCCCTTCTAAAAGTAAAAACCATTTTTACACCTTCTGAAAGCAACCCCCTTTACACCTTCTGAAAGTAAACACTTTAACCTTTGAAAGTCAAAACCTTTACCCCTTTCTAAAAGTAAACCCATCTTTACACCTTCTGAAATTTAAAACCTTTCCCTTGTCCGCCTCCCTTTTCCCCCCCTCTCCCATACTTTTTACAATATTTAACGAAAAATTTTGTTTTTGTTTAATATAACGGGGTTTAAAGGGCGGTTTGTCAAAAAAAATGAATTTTTTTTTTAAAGAGTGAGGTAGTAAAAAGAACTTTAAAAAAAAAACAAGACTGAGGGGAAAATTTTGTTGATAAAAAAAAAAGCAAGATGGCGAGACAAACTTTACCCAACTTCTGAGAAAAAAGACCCGGGGAAAATGGCGTCATCTCAGTCCATTTATATTCTTCGTCAAGAATTGTTTTTTTGATGGGCTTCGTCGAGAAGGCAGTTTTTATGTTTTCGCCAGAGAAGCGCAGTTTTGATGTCTTGTCAGAGAAAACGCAAGGTTTTTTATGTCTCGTCAGGAAGCGTGTTTTGGGTGTCTTGTCAGGAAGGGGCCCGTTTTGATGTCTTCGTCAGAGGGAAACGCTGTTTTGGGTGCTTCGTAGAGAAGCCAGTTTTGATGTCTTCGTCAGAGAAGGGGCAGTTTTGATGTCTTCGTCAGAGAAAAACCCCGTTTTGATGCTTCGCGAGAAGCCCAGTTTTTATGTCTTCGTCAGAGAAGCGGGCCCCCGTTTTGATGTCTTCGTCAGAGAAGCGCAGTTTTGGGTGTCTTCGTCAGAGAAGCCCCGTTTTTATGTCTTCGTAAAAGAAGAACCCAGTTTTTTATGTCTTGTCAGAGAAGCGCTGTTTTGATGTTTCGTAGGAAGCCCAAATTTTTATGTCTTGTCAGAGAAGGGCCCCCTTTTGGTTTTCTTCGTCAGAGGGAAACGCGTTTTGATGTCTTCGTCAGAGAAGCGCAAAATTTTGATGTCTTCGTCAGAGAAGCGCAGTTTTTATGTCTTTGTCAAAGAAAACGCAGTTTTTTTGTCTTTGTCAGAGAAAACGCCGTTTTGGAATTTTCTTTGTCAGAGAAGCCCCTTTTTTTTTGATGTCTTCGTCAGAAAAAGAAGCGCAGTTTTTATGTCTTCGTCAGAGAAGCGCAGTTTTTAAGTTTCGTCAGAGAAAACGCTGTTTTGAAAGTCTTCGTCAGAGAAACGCAGTTTTATGTCTTGTCAGGAAACGGAGGTTTTGATGTCTTCGTCAGAGAAGCGCCCGTTTTTTATGTCTTCGTCAGAGAAGGCAAATTTTGAATTTTCCTTCTTCAGAGAAGCGCAGTTTTGATGTCTTCGTCAGAGAAGCCCAGTTTTGATGTCTTCGTCAGAGAAGCCCAGTTTTGATGTCTTCGTCAGAGAAGCGCAGTTTTAATGTCCTCGTCAGAGAAGCGCAGTTTTAATGTCCTCGTCAGAGAAGCTCTGGCTGAGAGTAGTGTTACATAGGATATATGTACTGAAGTGTATATCTCTCAGCGTATATATATATATACGCTCAAATTTTCCTTTAGTCCCTACTTTAGGGGTTAAAATATTCTTGACCGTGGTAGTGGTAGTGGTAGACTGTATTTGGCTCGTTTTCCCACTTCTACCACTACCACTACTACTACCTCTTCTTCCTCTACTACTACTACAACTACTGATGAAATTAAGACACATGTGCGGCGTCTGGTTGTCTTTGTTGTGGACGTTTCGCCATCCAGTGGCTGGCTGGATGGCGAAACGTCTACGATGGGGATGCCCGGGTGTTGGGCATGTGTCT